AATACTAGGTGGTTTAAAGAACAAACACATTACAATTTTAGTTTGGGATAAGCTGATTTGGGATAATGGCCCATATTTTTTAGAGCATACCAGACACTTTACAACCATAATTAAAATTATTAATTACAAAAAAAATTGAATAATAAATTAGTAAGTAATAACATATGAAAACGCCACAACTGTCAACTACGGTCTACTCCTCTACTCTACGGATTACGGGATACAGATAATACGGCCGCCTGCCCATCGCGTTGTATCCGTTTTTAAAATTTCGTAACAAAGAGGGATACACATTGCCAACATCCTATCAGATTACGGATACGGTACAATTTTTAGAGTCCAATACTTCATACCGTAGGGATACGTAAACCCGCACAGCTGATCGAGCGTCTATTCCATATTGTTCTGTGATTAAATATAATACTATATAATATAATATAATATTAAAATTATTAAATAGTAATATTACGCTATGATATAATAACACTATACCTGATAACCTACCTATAGTCTTATAATCTTAGTTCTCAGTGGATCAAATTCTATATTCTATGCTGTAATCGACTGTATTTATAACGACCCTAAATTCTGATTTATGAAATTAACGACCCCGAAAATCCCGGATACTGATAAACGTTGTGAAGATAAGAGATACGATTGATAAGAGCATAATGCCGCCATAATGCCATATTAGTTATTAGTTATTGTTATTACAGCCATTCGGCGTTTTCTGTCTCAAGACGCTTTTGTGAAATGAGCGTTTAAATTTAAATAAAAAATTATTATCATGCCATATGCTAATCAACCTTCCGTGCATATATCTGAACTTACTACTGACTCAATTAAATTTCAAATTGAAGACACTGATCTTAGCGTTGCGAATAGCTTACGTAGAGTTTTCATCGCTGAAACACCGACATTAGCCATCGATTGGGTTCAGTTGGATTGTAATTCTACAGTGTTAAGTGACGAGTTTATAGCATCCCGTATTGGTCTCATACCATTAACATCCGATGAGATAGTTGATCGYCTTCAGTACTCGAGAGATTGTACTTGCTCAGACTTCTGTCACGACTGCAGTGTAGAATTCAACCTGCATGTAAAATGTTCAGAAGAAATGACAAGACACGTAACTACCGCAGATTTGGTGAGCAATAATCCACGCGTAGTTCCAGTTAATTCAAGAAACCAAGATAGTGATATTAATGAATATGGGGAAAAAGATGATATACTTATTATAAAATTGCGTAAAGGACAAGAATTAAAAATTAGAGCATTCGCCAAAAAGGGATTTGGAAAGGAGCATGCTAAATGGAATCCAACTACAGGTGTAAGCTTTGAATATGACCCAGACAACACAATGCGGCACACATTGTTCCCAAAACCAGATGAATGGCCTAAAAGTGAATATTCAGAACTTAATGAAGATCAGCACGAAGGACAATACAATTGGAAAGCAAAACCAAATAAGTTTTTCTTCAATGTAGAAAGCTGTGGATCATTGATGCCTGAAAATATTGTTCTTATGGGAGTTGCTGCCCTTAAAAATAAATTATCAAACCTCCAAACACAATTCACACAAGAAATGGATGCACTCGCTATAAATTAATTTTTATTAATATATATACATTTAACTGAATGTTGTTAATACACTCAAACACTATTGTATTGTAATTTTTATATTTTTTAAGTTTTTAATTAATAAAAATAATAAATAATGATTCATACATCTGTGCATTTATTTTACTATTTTCTAATTCTCCAATATTTTTTTTGTACATAACAAATTAATTTAAAACACTATAGTATGATCAATGAATATGCTCTTCAATATACAGCATAATGGTACCTGAATTTGCAAACATTACAGCAGAATCTAATTGAAATAAGAAAAAATGGGTTAGAGTAAATATGACGAGTGTTGGAAAAATTGCTAAATACCAATTTTAAAAATTAAACATTAAATATAAAGTTAAAAACTAGTAATGTATAATTGTTTCGTAGTGAAATCCCAAAAAAATTTAAATAAAGTGCCATCTTTGATTGAGCTTTCTATATTAGTAAATTTAATCTAGTTAATACTTTTAGAGGTGTGAAAGTATAAAAAAAACAMATCTATTTTTAAAATAATCTCTGTGAAATAAAATCAGTAAGTCGCTATAATGGATGTGTTAAATTTGAATTCAATGACATGGTTAGGTTAGCCTATAATATTATTTTGTATATTTGATTGTTTTATTGTAATTAAAGTAATTAATTTAATTATTAATTTTATTTTTAGTACTACAGCAGGTTAAATTCTTTTTTTCAAGATAATTACATTTGAAAATCGCATTGGGTGTATAAAATATAGTTATAAACTCTATAAGTTTGATACCCACAAATAATATTTTTTAATTATGAAAGACTATAAATATTCACACGAGTTGGTTTAATAGTAATCACTTCGCATATATATTGTAAATAACCAAACAAAATTAACAAATTAGGGTACTGAGATGACAATGAGCGGCATCCGTCGCACACCACGGTCCACGCCTCCCATAAAACAGGACCAGAGCCGCAGAGCCCCTTGAGTCTCAAGTGTCTCGACTCTGTACTCTGTAGTCTGTAGCTCTGTAGAAATAATTGGTTCCAGTCAATTAATAGGGAAGTCAGTCACTGGGAGCGATAGCTGTTCAATAAATTGATAAAAAGAAAAATATATGTACTTTTCTATTCATGATAAAAATAATAAATATTTTAAATATTTTGGTTCCAAAAATTAAAAACCTAAATTATCAAGTCATTCATAACTCATAACAACTATAAACATTGTTTATTTAGCAATTATCATATAAATTATAAATCGAATAAATTGATAAATTCAAGTAAACTGAAATAAGTCTTCACAATTACTACAGTCTTTTTTATATTATTTTCCAATTGTTTACAATKCCATCAAGTTTGTGCTGTGTTCTTAATTGTAATAGTGGAAAGGGGACTACTTAGCATCGCTTTCCTAAGGATGAAACTCTTTTTAAAATATGGGTTGACAGGATAGGAAATAAAAATCTATTGTCATATACCACAGAACATATATTAAAAGGCTGTTGCATAATGCTCACTTCATTTTCATAATTCCTGCAATAGTCCAGGACAGTCTCGCCTAAAGAAAGGATCTTTGCCAACTCTTAATTTACCAWGTATTAATTATTATACCAAATAATTATTATTATCTACCTCAGTGGTGCGCCTGATGGTCACAACATTTTATTAGGGGGTCGCCCATAATTAGCATTATTTGCACCTCTAGAACAAGACTGCCACAACTCAAAATTCATCAATTTTGTGTTATGACTCCTTTTGAATAGTGAAAAAATAGCTCTGCAAAATCTCTACATACAATATTATTTTTATTTTAACCACTAAAAAGATGTGTCTGTCTTGAATTATTAAATTTTTAGTCGATTTTCAAAGCAAGAGAGCTATATTTACTTTATGGCAGTATAGTTCTTATTGTAATTTATTTGAAAAAGTCATATTGTAAAGAATATTTGCAAGTATTTAAGTTTTYGGCTTCGAACGCATARGTAAACAACTCTTTTAAATATCATAGATTAAAACTTCAAATCACTTTTTCTAGAAACCAAAAATATTGAGTTGTGAGTCTTGTTCCAGAGGTGCGAATTATATTATATTATTATACACTTACATAATGTTGGCGAGAAGGGTGGGAGGGATTGTATCATCAAAATAAATAATTGTTTAGGGTTGTGAATCAAAAATTGGTTAGGTGTTTACCATGATAGGTGGTATGTTAATACCACCTATCATGGTAAAAGGTTATAAATGTTAAATGTACCCAAGTGTTGTTGCATACTTTATAAGTACTTATTTTGTAGTTTTGTAAATGCATGCATTTTATGTACATAAAACTTCTTTTGTTATCCTGTCTGTTGAGGGGATTGGAAGCGGTGATTTTCTGTCTTTGTCTAACATATGTGGGACATACAATACGCCTGACAAAAATTAAGGTACTTCTAGTTGTTCGATTTAAAATATG